TGGGTACTTTCACTCAGTCTGTCTTCAGGTTCATTCATGCCTTCATTGGCCAGTATCTACTTATGGCACCAAGTACATCCAACATTTTCCCCCTTAAATGTTGTCCTTTCCAGTTCTAAAATTTCCATTTGGTTCTTTTTATTATTTCCATTCCTGCTGCTAGTTTCTATTTGATTACCAATTATGTCTTTCATTTTTCTTTAAGTCCTGTTACATATTTATAGGAGCTATTAACTCTAAACCTGAGTCATCTTTTGATCTTTGTATTGACTGCTTATATTGCTTTGCTTATATCCATGTTTTGTGATCTTTATCTTATGTTACACATTGATATGATATGTTGTAGAATGTATTATTTTATTCTCTGACAAAGAGTATGTTTTGGCATTTAAATTAATAACTAGTAGATCCTCTTATCTTATCATGTTGTATGTGTATGTTTGCGTGAGTATGTGTGTTGGAGGCAGAGGTGTTAGGCCTTGACTATTTTTCTGATGTCTTTAGCCCTGGGGCTGGGGGTGGAAGGACCTTAGCTAGGTATGACCGTTAATCTGTTTTTCTGAGGTTTTCAGTGAATGTCCAATGTGCTTATTAAGGTGTCTCCTTCCTGGTTTGTCTAGAAGTTCCTCATTTCCCAGTGCTGCACAGTCTCTGGTATCTTCCTTCAGCTCTCCATCTGCAGTAGCTGTTCTATGCTAGGCTTTGAGGACTCTTGTCTTGAACACGTGCGGTCTATAGATAAGCCCAGGGTCTTTGGGAATTCCTATTGAGTCCTCCCCCACACATTCCACCAGGTTCCTTTTCTCTGGAACCTTCATCCACATATCCAAGGCCCTTTATAGCTCCAAACCTCAATTTCTGCCTCCTCAGTTCAAGAAAAATTAAGGTGCTATACTCAGCATCACCCTTCCATTCCAGGGTTAAAAAGAGCCACTTGCAGGAAGCCAGAGTTCATGTGGTACCTACCTCATATATTTTCTTTCTCTTGAAGATCAAAACCCTGTAATTCTAGTGGGCAAGTGCCAGGAAACTATTGCAAGTGTTGTTTACATTAGGAGGTTATGCATGATACCAGTTATTCTGCCTTCAAGGATGTTGAAACATAGAGTTTTAAAAATAGGAAAACTTCATGTAAAAAACCCCCCACATTTCCAACCTCAGTTGATCATTTCTGGGGCTCTTTAGAATATTCAAAATAATTTGTGGAACATATTATGAAGTTTAAATTAAAGTGTGGGAATTTGAAAATACCCCCCACTTTCATTCTTATCCACACAGAAAGGAAGACAGACTGAGGCACCAGAGGCTCACATGCTCCTTCATGAATGTGCATGGGGTATTTGGTGTAGTTGCCTTGGTTTTCAAACTCAGTCATAGTGGGCATTTGGTGACATACCATGCACATGCTCACATCATAAGAACCAATGATGATTTTAGTGGAGAATTTCACAGTTTCTCCAATAATTGCTCTCTGTCTCCAGAACATTCAGATTCTTGGAAATAATTTTGATGATAACAGTGAATTGTAATATGATATATCCCTTCACCCAAGGGCCTCTTACTTCCTATTCCCACCCAACTGCTATACTTGTAGACTTCTGGCGAGAGGCTAAGTCCAACGGCTCTGTGATATTGTGCCTTATTAGGAGGTGTTAAGAACCTGAAAATTACATTGCTTCTCAGATTCATGTCAAAAATGTGTGTGTCAGTGCCACTGACTTTGCTCCAACTCCTAGCAACCCTATGAATGAGTGATCTCCACAATATCCTGTTCTCAGCAGCCCTTCTCAGCTTCTGTAAACTTGGGCCTATGACTTCCTTTATGGAGCCAGTCCATCTCATAATCAGCCTTCCTCTTTCCTTGCTGCCTGATGTTTTTCCCAGCATTATCTTTTCCAAAGAACCCTGCCTTCTCGTGGTATGTGCAAAGTAAGACAGAATTAGTTTTGTCATCTATGCTTCCAGCAATGTTTCAGCCTTGATTTGCTCCAGGACCCACTTGTTCATCTTTCTGGAAGTCCAGGGTATCTGTAGAGCTCTCCTCCAGCACCACATCTCAAATGAATCATTTTATTTTTCCTACCAGCCTTCTACACTGTCCAACTTTCACATCTGTACATAATAATTTGGAATATAAGGGTGCGGAAGATCTTAGCCTTGATCTTTAATGACACCTCTTTGGTCTGGGTGATCTCTAACTCTTACATTGCTGCCCTTCTGAGTCTCAGCCTTCCCTTGATCTTTTGGCTGCACTCTCCATTTTAATTGATGACTAATCCAAAGGAAGGGAAATCTTTAACGATTTCACTGTTTCCTTGTCTATGTTAAACCTGTGTCAAAAACATCCTCTACCAGAAAAAGAGAAATGGTCAGGTTTATTCATGTGCTTTCTATATAGAGGACCAAATTAACCTTAAGTAAGGTAGTCTTGATTAGCTTTTACAAGGAAGAGAAACTCAGGATAGATTACTTGGATTCCACAAATAAAGTAACTTTTCTCAACCTACTGCTCAGGATAATTTTTTCTCTTATCAGATATCATCTGAAGATTATAACTAGAAGTAAAGAAGGTGAGTAATATGTCAGATACTATGTTAAGCATGCCTTTATTGTCTTATTTACTAATCATAAACTTATAGTGAGGGTATCATTAGCCTTAATTCACAGATGACACTGAGATCCAGAGGAATTGAAAAAGTTTCCAAGTTTTAAAATCATGGATTTGAATCTGTCTATCTACTTCCACAATTGTGTTTCCTATATACCACAGTTTTTATCATTTATGATGACATAAATTTACTTGGTTGCTTTGTAAGATACTGGAAAGAATATGTTAACAAAGAAACTTTACTATTAGACAAATCAGCTAATTTTCTAGTAAAAATTATCTAGAGCCCTGGCTGGTATAGTTCAGTGGATTGAGTGCAGGCTGCAAACCAAAGGGTCACTGGTTCAATTCCCAGTCAAGGCACATGCCTGGGTTGCGGGACACGTCCCGAGAGGGGGCCACATGAGAGGCAACAACATGTTGATGTTTCTCTCCCTCTCTTTCTCCCTCTCTTCCCTTCTCTGTAAAAATGAATGAATAAAACCTTTAAAAATTATCTAGATAGTATATAAAGATTTCTGTATCTGTACTTTTAAGTTATAAAATTAGACTTGTTCTAGTAAAAATAATGCAGCCTTTTAAAAAATGTTTCATTCGAAATGATATATTTTAGCATTTTCTTTGTCTCTTGTCAAGATGGAAAACAATCATTGTCTTGCTTGAATCGAGTATTACTATGTCTGACAGTATACTATATAAAGCAAACCAAAGACTTTCAAGATCTGTGCATCTAAAAGCTGTTAATGAAGTTAGCAAACTAGAAGCTTCACAGCCAGATATTCAAAGGTTATATAATTAAAGGAAGTACCTGTCTCTGGAGTTGTTAGACATAAATTGTGTTTAAAAATAATCAATGTTTATTCATTTTTCCTTATACATTACCCAGTAAACAAGATTGCACAGCAAATAGGAAAGGTGCTTTTGTACATTGAAAAGGGTTTAGATTTGGGTTTTGATTTGAAAAGGAAAAAGATCAAACTGAGAGGATCCTTTGTAGATAGCATATGCTTGGAAAATCAGTAATTTTTACATATCATAGAGAGAATCATTAGTCATAATTACTAACATAAGAGCTAAGTTTGATTTCTCTGATTACATTCTTATTTATGTGTTGCATTTTGTTTTCTTAATAATATATTATCACCATTTTTTGATATGTAAGCCCTAATTTTAAAATAACAATTTTTTATATTGGCTCTTTAATTTCAAGGAATTATTTACTTTATATGAATGGTAAAGGTATAAAAGGCTTAAGTCAAAATGGATGCCTATTACTGCCTAGTTCAACAAGCATTTATTGTTTATATTTACAGGAACAGGGAACCTAAGAAGTTCCCAATTTCAACACAAATTAAAGATATGCAGGAATAAAGATCCAGCTCTTATACCTTATCACCAAATTATTTTGTTGGAGTAGTTGTTTTTTTCTAAATTGTAATAACTGTTGAGAATAAGAGGAGAATATAACCATGTGGCACTTACCATCAAGAAGCTTAAGTAGATTCATATATAATATAATGTGAGGTAGTGATATGAAGAAGAAAGCAAAGTAAAGGATTAGAAAGAGACTGGAGAATGTGCTAAATTATGTGAGGTAGTTGGAGAGGTGTCTAGGAGTCACATTTGAGCAGTGACCTTAATGAAATGTGAGATCAAGCTGTGTTAATTTGTTGTCAAAGAGGTTTTCAAAAGCAAAGGTTGTAGAGGACTTGAAATGGGCTATGCTTGCTGTTTCTGAGAATCAGAGAGGCGACCAGGACCACAATGTAATGAGTGCTTCTTCATTTCTTTCAATTTTATCCCAAGGGTTATTATAGCCAGCACAGTGAGGAGAAAATGTGGGTCTGCAAAGAACGGGAAAAAGATAAATCAGAAGTATGGGACAAGTTAATTACATTAACTATGCAGGGTTAGACAAGTCATGCATTGCTACTTGAGTTGGAAAACATATACTTGGCAGGTAAAGCTAGGAGGAGCAACAGTGGCTGTACATTTAGGACAGACCGACCCTTCAAAAACATCTGCTGAGCCTGTGTGTGCTGTTGTTTGGATTTGGATTCCCAGGGATACATTCTACAGGCTAAGGGCCACTCAGATACACAATGGCCAGTCTCTTAAACTTACGAAACATACTGGGATCAGAGTTTGGACCTGTGCATAGTCTTGATATTAACCCAATGAGTGACTTTAGCCTCTGTAGTTGTGTTCTGTAGGGTAAAAGCTTCTTAGAAAGATAATCTTGTTTTTCCATGTTGAATGATCCATCTTTACAACCAAGAGCTAGAAGAAATTATGTGCAATTCCCTCTCACGTATTCTTAACAGCGTACCTATATTTCAGGTTCATTGTATTTAATCCTTTCTCTTTTTTATATCTATATTTTTTTCTGCAGGATGTTTTCACTCCAGAATGCAAATTTAAGGAATCTGTGTTTGAAAACTACTATGTGATCTATTCTTCCACACTCTACCGTCAGCAAGAATCAGGCCGAGCGTGGTTTCTGGGACTCAATAAAGAAGGTCAAATTATGAAGGGGAACAGAGTGAAGAAAACCAAGCCCTCATCACATTTTGTACCAAAACCTATTGAAGGTAAGAAATGAACTTCTTTTCTTCTTTAGAATCTGACCAGTGTGTTTATGCCAATTCTTCTTCTTATCCCTTCATTCAGTACAGTTTCCTTAGCATGAAACACATCACAAGCATTCAGAAAGCACAATGGCACCTATACATATTTTTTAAAAAGAAAATTATATTACAGATATTTGGTATTTAGAAAAGACTGCTTGGATATGGAAAGGTACAAAATTCCTGAAAGTAGAAAATTAGTGGCAGTTACCATTTATAATAAAATATCCTTCTTTTTTGAACACAACAGTGTAATATCTCAGGCTACACCCTTAAAAACCAGCAATACTATGTTAGTGCTTTAAAGTTTTCAAAAGAGTTTTAGAAATATGTGTAGATGCTAATCTCTACATCTTTATGAACTTATCTAACAATATAATGTATTGATTTTTCTTTGTATTTTTGAGGAAAAAAATAGTATGCTACACTGTGATCAATAAATATTTATTTATAGTATGAAATTTTATCCTCATTTAAGACTGTAACTTCTCCTCCCCCCATTATTTAATATAATTATATTTAAGTGATATTTAATATGTGATTTATCTCAAGTTGAACAGCAGAATAAGTAATTTTATGCTGAGGAAACCCACACTTTGCAATATTTTTCCTGAATAGGATGAGACTGTGTCATTGGAGTGACCACATTTACCGCATTCAGACAGGTTTTCAATATGGGCTTGAAAAGTGACAATGGTCTGGACGTGTGCCACCGTAACACTCTTCTCCTTTAAATGTCACACATTTTGATTACCTAAAATATTAATTGAGGCTCCTTGTCTGAGGAAATGTGAAAATTGAGGCAGTCACTGCAATGCATTACGCACGTTATTCATACATGGTTAGTGGATATTTGGCCCTGTCCAAAATATCACAAAGACACATGGGTCATGCCACAAGATCCTTCATATTTGCTTCTGCCCAAACCTCCATGGAGGCGTTTGTTCCACACTCTGTGTTTTTAACCACACAAAACTGAACTTGCCTTTCTGCAATATTTTTCACTAATCTGGGCCCCATGCAGTTTTCTTTGCCCTTCCCTCCCCTCAATTTCCATGGTCTTATTGCCTGGACAATGCCTATTATTTCTTGTAAAAAAGAAGTAATTTAGCAATTAGTACTTCTGTGAGGGTCTCCCTGACTTCCTTCAAGTGGAATTAAGCATTCTGTCACCTTATCATTGCATACATTTCTCTCCCCTAGAAATTATCCCATTGTATTAAATTGACCCATTCTCTACTCTATCTCCTCTTACCCACAGTTAGCTCAGTTTTTGAATGAATGGAACATGTTTTAGTTTTCCTTTATTTCCTCATATCTCCTTGTATCTTGTGCAGTGTCTGGCATATCACAAACATATTCAATAATCAGTTGTCAAATGAGTAGTGAACATGTGAATAAACAAATGAATGAATAAGTAATACAAAGCAAAGAACTACCTGTTCTAGAGAACTTTATAATATTCTTGGAGACACGAAATGTGTACTATTAGCAATAGTTTAATGCAAAAGATATATTATACATTGCAGGAAATTCTGTTGAGATTTAGGTACCCCAGGCCTAGGCCTGGTTTGGAGCATGTGAGATGAGAGGTGGAGATTAGGGAGAATAAAAATGCTCTGGCAGACTTGTGATGTACAGCTTGTCGGGTTAGGCAGAGGGTGCCTGAGAAAGAGATAATATTTTCCATGGACAAATATATTGATTCTAAAAACAATGTTTTGGACAAATTTTCCTTTTAACTTTGCATTTAAATTGACTTTTTTTGGTTGTTATACAAGTATTATATGCTCATTAACAACTTACAAAAAGTATAAAGGAAAAAGGAAAATATCTGTGTGTTTTATTCATCCCTTTTATAACAAATATATTCCATACTGTCCCCCTCACTGACAAAAAATAGAAAGAAACACCTGTAACCTACCACTCTGATCATAACTGCACTTTGGTTAGCCAGGCTTCCTCCTGGGTCCGTACACACTTGGGAAAGAAACGTACATAATGATCTTGTTCCTAGAGCTGCTTTCACTATGTTTATTGCCTCATTTCAGCACAAATGTGGGAAGAGATGACTAGACATTTCTAGTTGTGTACGTTGAATGAGGTTTGCTGTATGTAACATAAAAACCTGTGAAGAGCATTTTAATTATCAAAAGTTTTATTCTCTCACAAACCAAACCTAGTGTCATTTCTCCAGGGCTAGGACTGTGTCCTTCCTGTTGTTCGGGATCCTGGCTGCATCCAGCTTTTAGTGCCTCTCCCCCTGATGTGTTGTATATGGTACACAACCTCACACAACGGCCCTGGCTCTGCCCTGACCCCCATGACCCAACTGGCACCCTCATTCCAGTCAGAGGACAGAGGAAGGGATGAAGGAGATGGAGGCAAAAGCCTGTGCCCATATTCTCTTCAACATGGTCTCCATCAGTTATCATACCATAGCTCCATCCTTCTGACCACAGTGTAGTCAGGTGGCCATATGTAGGTGCAGGGAAGACTAAGGCATAGTGTTTTTTTCTGAATGGCCACTTCGGAAAAAATGGGGCAACTAGAAGCCTCTACTTTGACCTGTCATCATCTTAACTTCAGAATAACTCTGATTTCCTAATGTTGTCATTGATATTTTTGATTAATTGGCTGTTTTATTTTTCTTACATACTGATGCCTTAGGATGACTTTCCTTTTCTAGGAAAAAGTAAGTTCCATTTTAAATCAGATTTGCTAATGCTTAAACTTACTTCCAAGGCTCTTTGTCTCTCTGGATCATGGGACTAAACCTTAGGTGTGAAGCATGTAGAATGTGAGGAGAATTGCTTCCAAAAATGAGAACAAGAACTGACATGGTTTCAGATCAAAGACCTTTTAATTGCCTAGAAATTTCTTTGCCTTTTGTCCTAGAGAGCAAGGCTCACTCCTTTTGAATAGTATTACGTAACAGCTTTAGACATGCTTGTTTTGTAATTATTGTTCTACACATATCTCAATTATTGCCTCTTTCAGTTTTCATTCCATTTCTACCAAGGAAATCCTAGTACTATCCCTGTTTTACAAATGTGGAAATGGAAGCACAGAAACATAAAGCAATTATTTTTGAAATTGAGCAGCTGTTAAATGGCAGAGCCAGAATTCAAATCTTCTTTTTAAATTTTCAATATTCTTGCTTCCTAGAAATAAAAGACCTTTTTCTTATCTTCACTGTATTGTTTTTCCCATTACCATTTAGTACCCTTTTACCCCTTCCCTTCAGCAATCGCCACACTGTTGTCCATGGCCATGAGTCATTTGTTGTCCTTTTGGCTCAATCCCTCTACCCCCTCAACTCCCCGCTACTGCACTAGCTGTCATCCTGCTCTCCATCTATGAGTCTGTCCCCATTTTCCTTGTTCAGTTTGTTCATTAGATGCCACATATGAAATCATGTGGTATTTGTCTTTCTCTGGCTGGCTTATTTCACTTAGCATAATGTTTTCCAGGTCCAGCCATACTGTGGCAAAGGTAAAATTTTCTTTTTTACAGCCATGTAGTATTCCATTGTGTATATGTACCAAGTTGTTTTATTCACTCATCTACTGATGGACACTTGAGCTACTTCCATATCTCAGTGATTGTAAATAACACCATAATGAACATAGGGGTGCCTATCTTCTCTCAAATTAGTGTTTTGGGTTCCTTCAGATATATTCCCAGAAGTGGGATCACTGGGTCGAAAGGCAGATTCATTTTTAATTTTTTGAGGTATCTCCATACTGCTTTCCACAGTGGCTGCCCCAATCTGCATTCCCACCAACAGTGCAAAAGGGTTTCCCTTTCTTCACATCCTTGCCAGCACTTGTTTTTTGTTGGTTTATTGATGATAGCCATTCTGAGAGATGTGAAGTGATATCTCATTGTGGTTTTAATTTGCATTTCTCTGATGATTATTGGTGTTAAACATCTTTTCATATATTTATTGGCAATGTATATGTTCTCTTTGGAGAATTGTCTATTCTGGTTCTTTGCCCATTTTTAAATTGGGTTGTTTTTTGGTGTTGAGTTTCGTAAGTTCTTTATAAATGTTGTATATTAACCCCTTATCAGATGTATCTGTGAATATGTTCTCCCATTCTGTAGGTTGTCTTTTTATTTTGTTAATGATTTCCTTTGCTGAGCAAAAACTTTTAAGTTTGATGGAATCCCATTCACTTATTTTTTCTCTTGTTTCCCTTTCATGAAGAGATATACCTGATTAAAAAAATCGCTCTGAGCAATGTCCAAGATTTTGCTTCCTATGTTTTCTTCTGGAATTTTTATAATTTCCAGTCTAACATTTAAGTCTTTGATCCATTTTGAATTTTTAGATTCATGGAGACCTTCATGCATTTATATTTTAACTTACTACATACACATGAAATTGGTGTGTACTCTTATGCCTCATCAATACTTTGATATCATTATTGTAATTATAAAACATACCTAATAATTCTCCAAGGAGAATTTTACATCATTAAATGATGTTTACTGGTTAGCATTATTATCAGGGATATGTACACTTGAGGCATTATTTTTAGGAAAACTGTTTCCTCCCTGCCAGGAACCATTATTGTTGCTACTATGTCTAGTCTTACTACTTCTGTAACAGTTTATCAATCTACTATTTGTTAGGCAGGTTAAATATGTTATCTAGTTAAGTCTTATAGCAGCCCTTTGTTATTTATTGTCATTTTATAGATAAGGAAACTGATATTTAAAATAACCTGTCCAAGTTCACAAGGCTAGATAAATACAAAACTGGGATTGCAATCCAGGAGGCGTAGTGCCAAAGCCTATGAACCCTCTACTGTACTGGCCTTCAATCCGAAGCAAGCTTATGCATGTGCAAACACTCTAAAAAGTTACAGAGAGCAAAGTGGAAATACTGTACCATGATACAACTTGAATAGTTAGCTGATTCTATGGCATGCAAAATTGAGGCAGTAAGCGTGTAT